TATTTTGTGTGGACAGGGTCAGTATGGAGGAATACTTTACATTTATTCACCTCTTGAAAGTCCATGTGTGTGCGCACTTAGCCAGCGCAGAGGAATTGTTACAGGAATCACAACAACTTCCTCTATACATTGGTTTCCTGAATGCACTGACATGAATGTTTTCTTTGCATGTGCTCGTCTTCACTCTGGGGAGAACTGCATCTCACTGGGCTTGTAAGGATCTAAAGGTCCTTCCTAGTAAATAAACTCAGCTGTACCACTGGGACAAGCTGCTTTACAACAGCAAGGAATATGGCAAGTGAAATGACTTGTTAAAAAATGTGAAATATTCTTTTTGGTGCCAAGGATGAGGAAGAATTGCTGGGATGAATCCAGAATTGAGGTGTGTCGAGGGATAGAAATGATTCCAGGGGAAGAAAGTAGAGGCTCTGAGCAGTGAGATTTATTACACTGGGATATAGCCTCCCAGAGGAAGGGCTTGAAGACACATTGCTGGAATTGCTTAACACTTGGTTGGACAAAACACTTGAGGATATAGAGAGGATATATGGCCACAGATTTTTAAGGCTAGAAAGAGCCATTGTGATCACTTAGTCAAACCTCCTGCATGACTCATACCAGGGGATTTGCCTAGATGTATTCCTGTCCAATATTTGTCATGCACTAATGCATATCTGTTTGAAAAAACACCCAGCCTAGATTTACAAGAATCTTCCAGTAATCGACAATCCATTGCCATGATAAGCTGTTCTCATGGTTATTTATATTTCCTATTAAATATGTGGGCCATGTTTCTGTCTTACTGCTGTTAGCTTCTACTTCAAACCCTGTATCTATCTGCTAAGCTGAAGGACCTGCTGTGACGCTGTTGTCCCCATTTGAAGTCGCTTTGTTGTACCTCAAATGCTTGCAACACCACCCTGACCAGTGCCTTAGCTCATTTCCCTCTCTCCTCCAGCACCTCTTTGAAAAACTTACCTTCTACCATCTCTACAGATGCTGATCCCTCAGATAAGCTGTACTGTGGGAGGAAAAAAAATAAGATGTATAATTAGATCTAACTTTGCTCCCTTAGAAATAGACAAGTACATGTTGATGTCTGAGTTGTGTCTTCCCCTGTATATATATCACTTCCACTGTACTGTCTTTCCCTGATATACCCTTTGAGTCAGGGTAGGGGATAGTGGACTGTAACTTTGTGTCAGCGTTTTTACGGAGTTACTCAACTCAAGCACACAGCTAGCACTTAAGAGGAAGTAATAACTGCACTGGGAATGGTTCTGCTTCATCAACATGTGTAGAGTGAAGAAATGTATTTAGGTGATTTAGTAGAACACGGGCAATCAAAAGAGCAATACTCTGATGTGCTGGCCATGCTGTACTATTTCTGTATGTAGTCCCAATGGTTCCGCTCATAAGAGAGGTCATACAGAGAGATCTCTGAATTTTTTTTGAAAGTCCAACAACTGAAGATTTTCTACAGACTAGATCATCTGCATCGATAAGCAAATCCTGAGCAGGAGAGCTACAAACTTTGCTGTTTTGGATACTAATCCCAGACCTGAATTCATACTAAGAGATTTTCTACCTGTTTAATTCAAATTGGTGAAAGAATGGGGATTCAATGAGATGAATTTTATCCCAAATTTCTTAGGTGAGATGCCAAAGAAACCTAGAAGGCCATTTAATTACAAAGTAATGCTTGATATGCCTTCCAAGCCTTCTTTTAAACCGCTGTACCTTGTTCTCTCTTTTATTCCAGCCCATGCTGCTGTTTTATTTCTGTGGAAAACAAACCTAAACTTGGTCATGGCCTTAAAGTATTTCTGCTGTACCTTAATAAAAGTGTGTTGTGAAAATGGCTAAGAAAGTCTTGAAAATATAAAATCAAGGGACAATTAAATCTTGGGCTGAGCTCTCTAATTGATTTCCATTGGAGATTCACACTTAATAAAATACAGAAAATTGCATTTTATTTTGGCACATAAATACTGGTAGTGGAGACTGTGGCATTTAGAAGAGAGTATCACTGCACCAGAAAACTCACTTCAGCAAAATGATGCAGTCCAGTTGAGCCCCTTTTATGATCTGACAAATGACTGTTTTTATAGCACACTAAATAAAACCTGCTATTCGAACTGGAGGTTTATTAGTAAAGGCGATTCTGTGATAGCTGGGGAGGGAGGAGGGGGAGGAGGCACAAGGAATGAACATCAAAAGAGAGACACGTGTCATTCAGAAAAAGCACAGAAATGGCCCCCAAATGTGATAGCACTCATCATCACCCTGACTATCTCTGCTGCTGAAATAACTGACGTCACCATTACTATTTCTTTGTTGCTCCAAAACTTTATTGCTAGTTTGGTCACATTTCCGCTGATGGAAAAGCCTTTGCTCTGGGTGCAGTGAGGGAATTAGCAAAAGCATCTAGGCAGAAGAGATGGCTGTGGGGAACAACATACGAATAATGATAAAATTAGTCCAGGAGGATTAGCCAGGGCAGTCTGTGACAATAATGTCACCAAAACTGCTGCTTTTATATTCTTGTAAGAGGACGTGCAGGTGGAAGTTGGCATCCTCATAGAATGCACTTATACCTTAGATGTGCCTGTGAATTGCTTGGTGTTTTTCTTCAAACACAACTGCTTAGGTGTGTAAGTGCACTCACGTGGTGGAATACTAAAAGTGATGATTATGGAGAGGGAGAGGGTGTCATCTTTAGACTAGAAACAATCTGCTGTCACACTTCTGATGTCTTCAGCCTCCACAGCAAAGTTCCCCAGAAACAGTGTCATGCACTTGCTGTTGGTATGAGCAATATGGAGAAAAGGATTACATTTCATCCAAAGCATCTTTGAAAAAATGGGCACAGAGTACATATAAAGTGAGAGGACGAAACTGAAATGATAGTTGTCCTGTGGTTTTTGCATATGGGGTAGGTTTCACTGCATGCTTACTTGAATTGTTAGGAATGACAGCATGAGAGTTTGAGGCTAGATGAGTGTGTTCCTAATCTCTTTCATCACAAGATAATTATTTTACTAATGAAAACCAAGGAAAATCCCACTCAGGAGATGGAGACCAGCTTTTTGAGAGAGTCAAGAACATGGTATACATCCCACATCATCTGCTGGTTCTACAGAGAATGTGGTTTTGAGTTCATAACAAGTGGAGCTAGAAATTTATCATGTATGACTTCTCCAGGCAGATTTTCCAACAGGAATGAACCACCCACATCTTGTTGCGGATCAGTTTCATGTTTTCAGGGTGAATTGGTAGGGCAGGACTCGCCCCTTGATGCAGAGAAGTGGAAAAACTTTCCTTTTCTTCAGTATATTTAAACCCCTTTGTGAATTTTCATGAAATTTAACCCAGATACACCAAATTGATGTTCTGGCAGATTTCTGGACTTTGTTTAATGCTGTAGCATATGCAATACTTCATGCTAGACCTTAGCTGCAATCAGGATGCTTTGAAAGAATTAATCTGGCGGTCAGTAACTGCTAAATGAAGTGCATGCTAAAAGAATGATGAGCTAACTGACTGGAGCTCACAGCTTTTATGAGCTTTTCTAAATGCCTGTTTTCAGGTGAATTCAGCATCTCCTTGACATTCAAGGACTCAATTTATACTCAAATTATTTAACTCTAGTGGAAACAAGCATTGGCCTCAATGGAAAAGCCATTTATAATTCCCCCACCCCTTGGAAAAAAATTAATGCATTCAGGATAAAGCTACAATTCCTATAATAAATGAAATCTTTCAATGCAAATTAAGCACTGCAGGCTTTTAAAAATTACGGCAGAAACTTAGAGTACACAGCTGATCACATCCTTATTTCCAATTTAGTAATCTGAGACATGCTGAAGCATTAATGTTTCGGACAACACCACAGACGTTTCAGAGATAAATACTTACTGCTAGCATTTCTATAAAGCCAATAGAACTCCATCCATCCTGGGACCCTTCTGCCATTTGATTTTGCCCTCAAATGCAAAAGTTACAGAGGAAGGAGGAAAAGCATAAAACATAAAGTTAGACATGCAATTTTTTTACTTGCACACCAGCTCCATAGGACTATAGCACTACTGAAGGGATGGAAATACATTTCATACATCAATATTAAAGTATTTGTGTCAGTGATGGTTCATTAACCCAGCTTTTGGACAAAAAAAAAAAAAAAAAAAAAAAAAACAAGAAGTTTAGCAAGACATTTTCCTCTGCAAACCCCTGCTTCTTGGGTGTAATGCCCAATTGAAACACTCACTTAGAACTCTATGCACTGGCTAAAGGTCAAGCAAGGATCGAACTAGGGCTGTCTCACCAAAACTGCGTTAGTTCTGTTATAGTCCACCTTAGGTGGTATTTGTTCTCTACTAGCTGCCTAAAGTTAGGCAGCAAAACATGTTATGCTTAAACATGATACTTCAACTGCATTGTTATGTCAGTGGTGATGGGCTTTGTTGGAAATGACAGAAAAATCCCATTGTTTAGGGTTTTCCCAGACTCGGTGTTTAATGTGTAGCCCTGAAAAGAATAGGGTTGATAAATGTTTGATAAAAAAAAAAGAGTATATGTAGAGATGACCTTATTCTGCAAGTAAGGAATGGATCAGATCCTAGTTCCAAATTTAACCTTTATAAACTCACAATCTGTTGCAGTTTACCCAAATAAAATCCTCAATTACTGTGTTTGGAAATTGAAAGTGTTTGGAATGCAGCTGAACACTGAAGTAGCATGCAAATCATCGTTTAAAGCAGTACCAAAATTAATTTGGAATAACTTAGAATCTGATAGTTATAAAGCAAATCAGGATGCCTTAGTTGGAAGGCACGAAAAACTATATTATTTGCAATCTTGTGAGCATCTTTAGACCATTCAGTAATCTCTGTGTATTGCTTTACCGTTTCTGTAAAATAAGGACTTTAGTTAATATTCTCAAAAGGTTTGCAATGCAAAAGCTTTTGTTTTATCAATATTTTTACTTAGTTATCTTGACCATGCCCATGGTAAGAACAACAAGCTGCTTATGCTGCAGCAGCAAATAACAACACCAACTTTCCCATGGAATTTCACCTTTTCTGTATTGATATGATTACACAAATATCTCAGGGAAAACAGAGGTGTATAACAACGGCAGTGCAAATCTGCAGGGACTCCCAGCACCTTCAGTGGAGCTCTTCTTGATGTGCACAGCACTGCACCACAGTCTGCTATGTTTATGTTCAGCGAATGGACACAAACAGTTGATGCTTTGCTTTTAATTAACCCACTCTTAGCCCATGCTGTGTCTTGCTCTCAAGTAGTCCCCCTGCAGTTTCGTGTTAACTCCTGCCTCTCTTTCGATATCTAATTAATGATCCTTAGTTGTGTGAGTGTGGTGGTGTTTGGGCTTTGTGCTATTGAAGATTGAGGATTTTAAGGAAGGAGTGAACTCTGGAATTGTTGAATTTCATACACTGCCCTGGAAAATTCTCCTTCTTTAGGACAATAATCGTGAATTTCATATTAATGCCTGATGACATGTTTTCTATCCATATTTTAATTGGAATTAAAGCCCTTGTATCAGTTTTGAACTAGCTTTAGTGGAGTTTCTCACAAGATGTTACTGCTGTTTTCCTTTCTATCAAGTGTCACATTCCAATTTGTGATCTCTCCTCCATGATTACAGTTACTAAGGATATACAAGACTTCCTGAGCCCTTTCAGACACTTGCTATTACAAACTGACCTTATTCAATCAAACAATCCTGATATAAATTGGCCACAATTACTGCTAAACCCGTAAGTCATCAGACCAGAACCAAGTTTCTCTAGACCTTGAATCTCCTCTACCTAGCATCTTTTATTTACAGAGTAAAGCTGGCTCTGGAAGGCTCGGAGCACTCACCAAAAGATGTGAACTGTCTCCAACCTTTAGTTCTGATTATAAGCTTCAAGTGAGCTGTTTTCAGTTGCCCCACTGGGAAATGAGAGGAAATGCTCAGTTTCAGTTTTGAGCAAAAGTATGATCTGAGCTAGGATTATTTATTCATGTGCTGGAGCAGGATATCTCAGACTTTTTCTTCCTCTCAAAGGGTTTTATTTTCCAGCAACTTATTTTCATGCATGTCTAGGATGCAGAAACTGAAGAGAAAGCTTTTCAAGAGGAACGAATTATCTGGAGTTTCTCCCATTTTTTGGAACTCCTTGTGAAGGACCAAAGCCACATCTGTTGTTTTTAGAAGGCAGGTGCACATTGCATTTCCATCTTATCATTACTGCAGCCAGATATTTTCATTCAGTCCTAAGAAATCTCAGGCTGACCTTTTGCCTCATCAAAGAGCTGTTTTCGGAATAGTTTAGAAACATTATCAACCTCGTCTTTAATTTTTTCAAAACGGAATTAGGAATGAATGCAGCCTTGCCTTTTCTCAAACCAGGCTAGGTGCAAGGAAGGTCCGGTCTACATGCAAAACAGCTTCCTTAGCAGAATGCTGTGCCTGAGCTAATATACTTCTCTGCGTGGCTTGGAAGCAATCTTATGACTCAGCATCAACCAGCCCAGGTGGCCAACAGACCAAACTCTTGCATAAATTAAAACAGTCACCCCATTGATTTCCAATGAGATGTCAGCTCCTCATTGCCAGAATTGCTACGAAAAATATCTTTCAGGTTCCTAGACCACACAGAGGAATTGAACAATGCTTTTCTGAGATTCTTGCTTGCTGGAGAGGCAGGAGTGGCCCTGAGAAAAGGCAAACACTTCCAAAGTCTCTAAGTGATATTATTTGTTTAGGAAAGCCTTTCCTCATTTTTATTTTATTTTATTTTATTTTCAGCCTGTGAAGAAGAAAACAAAGGACGGTATGCCCCCAGAGCATACTCTGATGTGTCACTGTGGATGCCAATCCCCACAGACACTCCCAATGTTATTAATTTTTAAAACAAACTTGCTGATTGAGGTTCTGACTGCCTTTAAATTGTCTCTACAAGGAGACTGTGTACTAATTAACCCACAGAAACAATCAATGATGTACCTTTTTCAAGTTTCAGGGTGATTAGAATATGAAAATGAAGAGCACAATAGTGCAGATGTTTTAAAATCACAGCAGACAGCAATTAGTGACATGGGAACCAGCTGCTTATCTCTCCATATAAAGCCTCTTAATAGGGAATTACACTTGAGGAGCCATTACACAGATGGATCTGCAAATGATTTAAAGAGGGGGCGTAGTAGTATTAACTTTGATTTGCAAGCCAGATTCCTGACAAGCTGTATGTCAGGAATATATACCTCTAGAATTTTTTTCCTTTTTCCTTTTGGAGCAAAAAGTTACCACACCCTGTAAGCTACTAGATTTGTTTCAAGTTATATCTAAGTGTTTATTATTTTTTTTATTATTATTATTATTATTTTTTTTCCCCTATAGATTAGTTTGGATTTTTTTTTTTCTCATGTTCACATTAATTTATTGATTTGGTTACTGGAATCTTTTCCTGCTTTCTGCTTTGGGACTGGAAGTAGTATGTAAATTTCGAGAGAAGCTCAGAGGGGATGTGGAGGTAGAGTGATACATCTAGTAGTTAAAGTAAGAGTCCAAGAGGGACGGATTCAGCCACTGGGTACTCTTTGTAGAGTAAGGCACTATTCATTAGGAAGGTGGCTATAACATGTCTTTCCTTTTTAATGGTTGAGGCCTGCATGCCTGAATAAAATTATCAAGATAAGTACATCAGTAGGTGCAGGGATACACAGGTCTGGCAAGGCATGTGAAAGCACACACTGCCATCTCTGCTCTCTGTGCAATTCTCTTCAGTTGCAAACAAGATGTATCCTGCTTGTAAGTCTACATAAAGCTACCTGATGTGAGGACTGAAAGTCATGAGCTTGACGCTAAAACCATTTCACTAATGGTAAGAGGATTCATAAGTCACTTTTTTTAGTGTAAGTTTTAGTGCATAGTGGATTGTGTTGCTCAAACTTCCTTGCAATTAAAAAGCAGAAAATATTATTTTTACTTTTTAAAGGAAAGGTGGGGTTATAACCCACTAAGGCTTTCTTGTAAACTGACTCAAGAGAAATATTGACCAAGGTTAGTGATAAAATTACATGGGTTAAAATATGTTTCTACTTTTCTATCAGATGAAAGAGTAGGGTCCTGGTCCAGAATAATTAGTTGCTAAAGAAAATCTCTTTAAATGGAAGAGAGAACTACAAATAGAGGGGCTGAAGTTTGAAGTATTTTTAGGAAAAATTTTACCAAAAAGTAAACAAAAGTTAATCATTTCACTCTTCAGGAAAAAGCCCACTGTTCTTGGTACTGGTCTCAAGCTGTGTTGCCATAGGAACACTTTTTGAGTCAAATGACCCCTGCTATAGATCTCCAGTATATTACATGCTCACTGACAAATAAAATAATGAATTTCTGTGTAAGGTAGCAAGATATAGGCTTGTGAAGAGCCTCGTTTACTCTTACCAAGCCCCCCTTTGCTCCGCTCCCCCCCAACAGACCCAATATCCTCCAGTAGTTTATCCCAGATGTTAGATATATTATGATATCTCTTGTTTGTTTCTTAGGATTGTGCTCACCCAGAAAGGCAAGGTGAAGCCTAACAGTTAGGACCAATGGGATCAGAAAGCAGTACAGAAAAATACACCATAAAAAGAAATAGATTTTGCTGCATTACTTTTAACCAGTTTACTGTTGCTTTTAAGAAGACAGTCCCCATGTATTTGATATAGCCTATGAAATCCAACCTACTGCAGCTGCATGCTCTCTCGTTACTTTGGTCTTTCCTCCACGAGAATTATTTTGGGATGACATGGACATGTCTGGCAGGAGAGAGCAAACTGTAAACGTTATGCTGGAAGGATACCATGAAGAGACCCTGTGGACTGCTATTTGCTACAGCAGATATATAGTTTGACATCCCATTTCAGAAATGAAGTTCTCCAATCCTGTCGACGGGTTTTTGAGGCCCTGTTAAAACTGGAATATTTATCTATGTGGTAAAATGCCTCAAGCGTTGGCACCTTTGATGACAGAGGGATATCTTTCTCATGAACTGTAAGATTAATGTTGTGGTGGCCTGTGGTACTGCAGTAATGACAAGGCTATCATTAGGGATATGTTGGTAGTTGCATCACCATTTTATAGTGTGTGGAACAAGGAAATGAGACTGGAGGATTCAACTGATAAGTCAGCATTCATCTCTGATATACAGCTGGCCTCTCAATGCTGAGCCCTTATTAATGGCTTTAAATATAGAGATTATTGCTTCTTTTAAACCAGAGATTCCTGTGTGTGTGCAGTGTGCTTAGAGACACCAGGGTGTTGCTAGCTTGTGATGTTTTCTTCTTGCTATAGTCACCTTCTCTTTTTCCGAATGAAATTGTTCCTGTTGCTTAGTTTTGCAGTTCAGCATTTTGGAAATAATGTGAGGGGCAGGAGTTGCTTTGACAGCAGCCATAGAGCTGAGATCTCTACCTTGGCACAGCACCAGGGGCCGGGAGAGACCTCAACCTACTATTTCCAGGCTTTTTTTCTGAATAAAAAATTGTACGCTGGAAGAGTATGTTCTATGTGAGGCATGAAAACATACTCAACTTCATTCTGGGGACATGGAAACAGGTGGGCTGTGTTTTCCCTTGTATTTTACCCAAGGAGGACATTGGTGTTGTGCTGTGGGAGCTGCGTGCCCCTAGGCTGCAGTGCGGCTGGAGCGTGGGAGGCTGCTGAGAGGAGGAGCCGATTTCTTCCCCGAGGCCTATTTATGCTTTCGGCTCTTTTCTCAGGCTGAAAAAAAAGAAAGAAAAGTGTGTCACTCGCCCGTGACATCTGCAGCACCACCGCAGCTGCATACTTTCATTTTCTCACTCCACAATTCCTGGAAATCTCTGCTTTCCCTGAGCGTAGCTGGTCCATATGTACAACAGCTGAACTATCCACAGGATTTAAGAGTCCCCTATTACTCTGCAAACAATGGACCAGAACAACTTCGTCGTTACTGCCTATTCCAGAAAGGCCACATGTCCTTTTTCATGTGAATACTAAGGATACCTCAACATTACTTTGCCTATAAGTTGCATGTTTGCTGGTCACTAAATAACATATTGTGGACTTGGGGTGTTTAGCACCTTACAAATCCCCTCTGAAATTTATCAAAATTTGAGGACACCTAATTTCCCGGAAGACTAGGCCTCAAGGAGCTCAGAAACATTTTGTGCTGACCCCAAAATCTCTGTGGCAAACAACCCAAGCAGGGATCTAATGTAATGCTGCTGATAGAAACTTAATTGTAACAGCATGTTTGCAGAAACATGAGACACTTAGCAGTTGTTTTCTATTGTTCTTTCCTTAGTTACGCATTTATTTTAAGTCTCTCATCATTTATTTGGTATTCAGAACGGTGTTGTTACAGTTTGTTGGGAACAGTTGTTTGCTTGTTTACTAGATGCTCAAAATCAGTTGCACGGTTTGGTCCAGAGCTTTACAAAACATAACATCTGAATGTGACCAGAGAAAACAAATGGCTAGAGGAGGTCAGTGAGAGAAAATAAAATGTATGTTTCATTGTTTTTTACACTTAAAAGAGTTTTGAAAAAGTTATAGCTGTAAAGAAATATAATTTTCTCTAAATGAAGAAGGCCTGCCAAGAATAAAGTAGCCTTTATTTTGCTCTGAAGAAGACTTTGGTATAATTCTGTTCTTTCTGTTACCCCTGCAGTTTGAAGGCTTGCTGTCAGATTAAAAAGTGTATTGAAGATGTCACTTCCCAACAATGCAAATATCAGATTATTAAAATATAAAGAGAATAATGCAAATCTTGAACTTGGCAAGTGTACCTCACACACTGGATACTATGCTTATCATTTTTAACCATTGATTTTGTGGTGATGACTTCTACATGGCAATTTAGACAAGTAGATCTTTGAGGATTTTGGCTTTGTGGGGAGATGAACTCATGAGTTTTCCTCTTGTTTGTTGTAGCTTCCTAGATAATTCTATATTCATGTTGTTTACATTAGTGGATTTAATTTTGAGCATTGAGTTTGCTAGGGATTATTTTTAAGGAAAAGCATTCTCACCGAGAGGCTAAGTTTCACCATTCATTCATTGGAAGGGAATATTTTACTCATGTTTTAAATTAAAAATCAATAAAAGATGTTTCCTCTGCAATTTAGCATTTATAGAAAATATTTCCATTGTTTTTAGAGTGGGAAAACACACAAAACTTGTTTACAATGCATGAATCTGAATGCAAACTTGACTGAAATATAAGGACACTTTATAAAGGCTCCTAACTGTTATGAGGACTTTGGCTTAGAGCAGTCGTCATTCACTATGCAACTAAAGAGCTGCAGCCAGTGGTTGTGACTGGACTGATAAACTGACTTTTTCCCTGATTTTTTTTTTTTCTTTTCTTACCTTCCAGGTTTATGACAGGCCACAGAAACATTCTACCCTGCACTATGATCCAGGCCTCCAACAAGACTTCACCAGTGATACCTTAAAATCAAAGCACCAGCAGAAAAGTAGCAACCAGCACCATCTTGACTGGTCAGCAAGCTCCAATACTGGATCCACTTCTCAAAGTTGCTTCATCAATGCAGAACCCAGTCGAGAAGCTGTTAGTGCCACCAAGGTCACTCCTCCAGAGCCAGGAGTTTCCTTCAGTAAATCCCAAGCAAAGAAGTCATGTGCCAGCAGCACGTGGGGGCAGCTGTCTGTCAGCAGCAAAGAGCTTGCCGTTTGCAGTGCAGTCTCATCACCCAACACTGGTGTGACTGCTCAGCCAAGCGGTGCCTCCGAGAGCAACGGGCTGTTGCCTATTGGTGATCAAGACGGAGGCGTGCAGCTGGAAGCTCCTGATCAGTCTGCTGGGAGTACAAAGAAGAAGTCCAGCAAAAAGGACTTGATATGTCAAACCATCCAAACTGCTGACATTGAGTGGATGAAGAGCGCTCAGAAAGCATTTGACAGCAAATGCCATGACAGCATGGAAGGAAAAAAAGAATCTTATTCGATGGACAGTGTGTTAGATGCGTCACCATCAAAACAGAATCCCACTTCTGCTAGCAGCTGTGAAAATGACACTAGCCATGTACGAATTACTATCCCAATAAAGTCTCCAACAACAGATACATCCAGCCACAAAAGGAAAAAAAGGCAGTCTACGAAATCTTCAATGGAGAAAGCTATCCAAGAGAAAAGTCTGCCTTCTGGGCTTGCTATGAGCAGTGAAGTAGCAAACAGGACTATTTCTCAGTCAGAAGGGAGTAAAAAAGATATTCGAGTCACAAAGCCAGGGAAAGTGATTGAAAATGAGTCTCCCTTAGCAGCTATTGACAGCAGTGTGCTTATTGACAGAGCTTCCCCCAACAGTGCCACCAGACTCAGAAAATCTGTAGCTGTGACATCTACTCTCCTATCCACTGATCTCCCCACAGCTAACAAACTGTGTGAGGTCCAGCACCCCAAACTCACAGCTAAACGGCGATGGACCTGCAGCAAACCTAAATCTATCCTTCGGGAGACCTCCATGACCGCATCTGAGAAGATGATGGTGGAACCTCCTTCAGCCTATCCCATCACGCCATCCAGCCCTCTGTATACCAATACAGACAGTCTTACTGTGATCACACCTGTCAAGAAAAAAAGAGGACGACCAAAGAAACAGCCTTTGCTTACTGTTGAAACCATTCATGAGGGAACATCCACTAGCCCAGTTAGTCCAATCAATCGTGAATTTCCAGGAACAAAGAAAAGAAAGAGGAGACGGAATCTGGCCAAGTTGGCTCAGATGGTCCCAGGAGAGGACAAGTCCATCGGTGATCTTAAGTTTCACAAAAAGGTTGGAAAGCTTGGGGTCTTGGATAAGAAGACTATCAAGACCATTAATAAGATGAAGACCCTTAAGAGAAAGAATATTCTCAATCAGATTTTGTCCTCCTGCTCCAGCAGCATAGCTCTGAAAGCAAAAATCCAGCCACCATCTAGTGCTGGGCCAACAACCATTGATGCCAGACTAGGGAAGCAGATCAATGTCAGCAAGAGAGGGACTATCTACATTGGTAAAAAACGGGGGAGGAAGCCAAGAGCAGAACTGCAGCCTCAACCAGAAGAACCTAAGACAGCCATGAAGCACTCAAGGCCTGTTTCCAGCCAGCCAGAAAACCCAGCAGTGCCTTCCAACCTGCAGTCACTTGTGGCATCGTCACCAGCAGCTATTCATCCGCTTTCAACACAGTTAGCAGGGACTAATGGCAACCTTAGCCCTGCAAGCACTGAAACAAATTTTTCAGAGTTAAAAACTATGCCAAATCTTCAACCTATCAGTGCTCTTCCTACAAAAACCCAGAAAGGAATGCACAGTGGAACTTGGAAGCTGTCTCCACCCAGGTTAATGGCTAATTCACCTTCCCACCTCTGTGAAATAGGTTCTCTAAAAGAAGTTACGCTGTCACCAGTGAGTGAGTCTCACAGTGAGGAAACCATTCCGAGCGACAGTGGGATAGGTACAGACAACAACAGTACTTCTGACCAGGCTGAGAAAAGCTCAGAATCCCGCCGGAGATACTCCTTTGATTTCTGCACCCTGGACAATCCAGAGGCTATCCCATCTGACACCAGCACAAAAAACAGGCATGGTCACCGGCAGAAACATCTCATTGTGGATAACTTTCTCTCTCACGAGAGCATGAAAAAGCCAAAGCACAAGAGGAAAAGGAAAAGCTTGCAAAACAGAGATGATCTCCAGTTTCTGGCAGACCTTGAGGAACTCATCAATAAATTTCAAGTGTTCAGGATTTCACATCGTAGTTACACATTTTATCATGAAAATCCATATCCCAGCATCTTCAGGATTAATTTTGATCATTATTACCCTGTGCCATATATCCAGTATGACCCATTGCTCTATCTTCGCAGGACCTCTGACATGAAGTCTAAGAAGAAGCGTGGTAGACCTGCCAAAACCAATGACACCATGACAAAGGTGCCTTTTTTACAAGGGTTCGGTTACCCTATTCCCAGTGGGAGTTACTATGCACCCTATGGAATGCCTTACACATCAATGCCTATGATGAATCTTGGTTACTATGGTCAGTATCCAGCTCCTTTGTACCTGTCTCACACGCTCGGAGCGGCTTCCCCATTTATGAGACCTACCGTGCCCCCACCCCAATTCCATGCAAGCTCTCATATGAAGATGTCCACCACTGCCAAGCATAAAGCAAAACATGGAGTGCACCTACAAACACCTGTGGGAATGGGCCTTGGAGACATGCAGTCCTCTTTGGCTCCTCCAAAGGTTGGAGGAACAAGCCTTTCAAGTAGCCGACTTCACAAAAGGAAACACAAACATAAGCACAAGCATAAGGACGAGAGGATAGTGGGGACACATGAAGATCTGAGTGGTCTCTTTGCTAGCAAGTCCACTGGCTTCTCCAGTCACTCTATCAATGAAAGGCTAAGTGGCTCAGATAAAGATCTATCCTTGCTCAGTGAGAAAAGCAAGCATAAGGAGAAGCAAAAGCACCAGCATTGTGAAACTGGACACAAAGGCTCAAAGAGCAACTTTGAAGTGGATACGCTGTCTACCTTATCACTTTCTGATGCCCAGCAGTGGACACAGAGTAAAGATAAAAGTGATTCAAGCAATGATCCCATTGACTCTTGCACAAAGAGATACTCTGGTAATACTGAGAGTAATGCAAGGTCAGAGTCCCTGGACATGTTTGGTGAAATGAATTCCTCGAGTGAGAAACGGGATAATGATGGAAGTGGGAATAAAAGAAGAAGTTTCGAAGGGTTTGGAACTTACAGAGAAAAGGACATTCAGCCCTTCAGGATAAATAGGAAGGATAGAAGTACTTATGATTCTTCTGCTTCTTCTGGTAAGTTCTGCTTTATTTTATTTTATCTTACTGCACTTTAATTTTAATGCTGAACAGAGGGACTTGCAATTTTTCAATAATTTTATTCAAGTCATTCACTTCTCTGACTGTTTGTAATTGATTCTCATTTTCCATCTAGACTTTAGGGATACTGACAAGAAAGCTGGCCACATGTTAATTTGAGACCTACACAAGTATTTAGGTTGTTAGACAGCATTTATGAATATTTCTTTTCACCTTGCATATTTATTCTTGCTTGTTGCACTTCTGCCAAAAGTCCCCCCATCATGTTCTACAGCAGCAGCAATTACAAAACCTGCTGGCAAAGCAGGCAACTCTCTTACTCGGATCTAATATCTTAAGGTGATAGTTGTTGCCCAGCCTTTGGAAGTACAGCCACAGCACTGAATAGAGTTACTTTGCTCTCACCTATAAAGCGTACAAAGTTCATTTGTTGAAGGGCTGAGAAAGATGTATGGGAATTTGTGGATCAGTATTCTGTTACTGGTATGGTGTCTGATCCAGAGGAACCTAGGATGGTGAAGGCTACAGTGAATATGTAGAGACCCTTGCTACAATCATTGTGTGAATCTGTCACTTCTAGTTGGTAGGTGTGATGTAAAGTCTTGCCTGAAAGACTGAACTGTACTTTACAATAGGGAGCAGACTTCATGATGACGGAAGCAGGTGTTTTGCTGAATTTAGCTTGAAAGCAAATTCAGTGCTCCTGCACCACCATATATTTATCACAAAGTAGGTTTCATACTTGTTGGAGAAAGGGTGAACTTTAGTGAAACCAGCAGTAGAGATTCCGATGTGCTAGAGAAGAGCTTCAAAGAAACATAATTTAGCCTCAAAAACAAAACAAACAAACAACAACAAAAAAAGAGAATCAACAGAGAGCAGAGAAGAGAATGTGTATAACTTGCCAATGTGAGCCTTTCCAGATTTTTATTGACTTGTATCTGATTGAGATCCAAAGACTGCTCATATTTAAGGACATTTCCTTTACTGAGTCAAAGATCTGGGCTGTTATGATGAAAATCAGTCTGAAATGGGAGCTTATCTCATGAAAACTCCCCCACTTGCTGTACCATACAATATCAGACCAGTTGTGACACCCAGAAATGAGAAACATGAAAATGTTGAAGAGTCTGAATTCAAACCCACGTTATATGAGAATTGTTATATGCCTGTCAAAGAACAAAATCATTCTCCAGCAAGCATTTTGTAAGCTATTGCAGAAAGGAAGTTGTGTTTCAGCAAACAAAAGTCTTTGGAATTTTTTATGAAGTTATTTCTATTGTCTATTGGAAGCTATTAATTTCACAGTTTGATAATAGTTGGATTTTTAGCCTCTGCCTTCTGAACAGAAGATGTCTGCTAAGTCTGTTTTTCCAGTTTAATATATTTCACTCAGGCACAGAAAAATGACAAGAAACAATTAGCATTGGTGAGCCCAAATGAGTTTTCAAAGTAGGGATGTGATCCCTACCAGGCTGATTTGGAAGTCGGATTTGCTAAGAAAAAAATGCATTTCCTGACATTTTCCTTCTGTTTATTTGACCATGAAAATGAATAAGATGGAGGTCTTGCAATAGGATCTTCATAAAATTTGCTGCTTAAACTTTTTAAACTGTTTCTCATTTACACAAAAAAATATTTTTATTTATTTTTAATTTTCATGATTACAACTGCGCATCATTCTCCATGACCTAATCCATCAAGTCACAGATTATAACCTGGTTTCTTCATTGTTAGGCTATTATTTAGATGGAAAAATCATCAGCAGTTAGCTAAGCAAGGCCAGCTAACTAGAGCCATACCTTGCTTTGCAAGGAAAAATGCTAAAACTAAGTATCTCTTCCAAGAAAGACCTGGAGCCAAGACTGCTCATTAAAACCTAGGAACATCTGTCAGCTTGTGACTGTCTAAGATCTCAATGCAGCTTTATTTTCCTCTGTGCCTTTGACCTTCGTTGGGATTCCCAACAGAGGTCCATATTTGAGTCTAGCCGTAGCTATTAACTGGTTCCCACTGAGGAGGGATTAAACTTTTCCATGATAACCTTGGCATTCTTTCTCCTAATTCACCTTGCTTTTCCCTGAGGTGACTAAGCACTGATTGACTAATCATTTAAAAAAAAAAAAAAAAAGAAAAAGAAAAAGAAAAAAAAAGGTGAAACAAGAGAGGGTAGGGGGGAAATCCTATGAGTGCATACAGCTCTGTCCCAGGAGGCAGCTCCTCTGCCTGATAGTTCTTGCCATTCAGGATTTGTCATCTTTTGCTATATAAAAATAATATATAACAGAGATAAGAAGAGACATCCTGAATATTCAGATGAAAGCTGAAAATAGACTTGCATCATGATTTCAGTGTTATATTCACTACATGGGCATTTTGGCATGCTCAGTAATGACATTTGCAACTTCATAGTATGTTGCTGGAGATGAAATATGGAGCAAAATCTACCCACACTTTGTTGAGATATCTGTGATAAGAATGATGATAGAACTAGTTAGTACTCCTCAGCATTCAAGCACTGTAATTATCTTCAGCCCAGTGTCCTGGTTGCAGGTACCACTGTAGTGTAGTTTTTCTTATTGTTATTTTGTTTAGAACAGCACCTAGCTACTCATAGGTCATATAGCAGAAAACAATCCTGCCAGATAACCTTAAAGCTTACATATAACTTTACAATTTAGAAAGATCAGAAAAGTTGTTAGACTTTCTTTCTGGAGAAACAGGAAATCTCTACCAGGGTGAAGGATCACACAGGAGGAGTGTTGACTCCCTTGGCTGCCGCAAACATCCGTGATCTGCACTGGGCTGCTACTGGGTATTCAGTAAAGGGGAAATTCTAGCTTATTTTACTCATCCTGATATCTCTTGTGTTCAAAAGTGCTCTGCAAATGCATATGACAGTTTCATATATGCTCTGCCTGTTTATCCATCACTATTCCGGATATTCTCTTCGTAAAAACAAGATAACTACTCCATCTTTCTTCTCATCCTCTGCCTGCAAACAGTTTCTTCTGCTGCATTTTTCAGAAATTAAAATTACATGTAATATTCCTTGTGCTAACCCAAACTTGCTGCATTATTTAAAAAGACTAATTGATAATACCTTAATGAACCCTACTTGCTTACTTAGCTGATATAGAAGATGAGACGCGTGGCACTGGTCAGCTCAGTAGGAAAGGATCTAGCAGAAGGTGATTCAGATTCTGCATTGCCTCCACTGTCACTAAGGCACATCCTAACTATTTAGGAGTGTGCACTAAGCGCTGACTCAGTTTTCTCTCTCCTCCTACACTCCACAGACAGAGGTGCACCTCGTGCATTTGCGAAATATTGGAGTCCCTCCAGCACTCCATGACCTGAGGCACTGTGCACAGCTGGATGGCTGATCTTTTCATCTATTCTGCATTTGCTGCTAAAGCTCCTGGTGAGGGTCCCAGGGAGAGGCCGCAGATTGATGACACAGATGGGCTGGGGAGACAGAACTGAGCTGTTTAAAAGAGGTCCTCATAGCAAACTTCTCATTGCCTAGTTACATTAGCCTGCTTCATTTTCGTACATAGTGCTGAGGAGGAGACCTGTGTTCCTGCTGCCATAAACTGAACCTTGAAAAGAGTAGAGAGTTACTTCTATTTGATTTCCATAAGTTGGAAAAAAGAGGAAAGGCGTGTTTAACTTTCAAGATTGAATAGACAGATATGCCATTTTATCTATGCAAACTGTCTGATTATTTCCTAGTTACAATCATGACAGGTCGGGATGTAGCTGATGGTGAAGCACAGGACAAAAGCCCCTATGCATAGGAATATATTTCTTCATTTCTTTGTAGTGAGTCTAATTGATGTCTTTGCTACTTTAAGCTCGGACTTTTTCTGCCTTTTTTTTTTTTTTTTTAAGCTGATGATTATACAAGGAAAGATTGTCTTGCATAGTAGACATAATGACTAAAAGATCAGCAAATAAGTACATGAATTTCATCAGATATAGCACAGACACAACGCACAGCAAATTTACAGGAATGTGAAGTTAATTATATGTAGCTATTAGCAAGGTAGCAATCCTAAGTCTCTGAATGCTGGATAGTTAGCATGGCAAACATGTTTTACAAACTGATGCTTAACTTGCCTAGTCACCTCCACCCATTCCATCCCCAAGGTCCAACAGTGCTATGAGCTCAATTTACTCAAATTTGACATTTCTTTAGCAATTATTATGTATGGTGCTGATTAACTCTGAAGAAGTTTCACCTCCTTCACCAGTTATAGTTGGTGTGGGCATTGCACAGCAAGTACACTTTGATGAGAAGAGCAATGGTGCACACATACATGTATGTTAAATGCATTTAGTAAATCCATGATTGTATGCTGTGTTTGCTTAAACATGTTTTTACTATCTTAAAATTGCCCTTGCTCCTGTTAAAAAGCCTTACTTTGGATGATTAGTTCTTCCAAAGGGGAGAGCAGGAGGTTAACTGGGACAAGGGAGAAGTCATGATCAAGAAAACGAACAGGATTTGTGTAATGTTATTACAAATATAAGTAACCATGCTCTTCTGATGAGTGGCGTTTATCCAGATGAGATTTTTTTCTCTGACAAAACTCCCTTTTATGGCTCAGTTTTCTGCTAGAAAGGGCCATTTCTACACAGCATGGTATAAAGCTCTGGCCATTTTCTCCCAGAATTCAAATGTGTTATTGTGAATTAGAACAGGACTTCCTATGAACAAAAACAAACATGGTGAAATATTGGCAAAGCCACCGTGACGAGCTGTTTGTTGTTTTCGAAGAACCGGTATCTGTTCTTCTAGATCATTATCATGAAGACTTAATCAAAGTTTTACTACTCTGCATTAGTGAGTAAACTTACTTCTCCATCTGAATGTATTTGGAAGACCCAGTGAAATAATATTAGTCAACAGCCTTATTAATCAAACTTTGTTGAAATATTATTTCAACAAATGAAATAATGCATTTCATTAT